AGACTGCATTCCGAAATAACCATTTTAGCATACTCTATTTCAAGATATGTTAAATGACAAATCTTATATCACCTTCTTAGATCTTGTCAGTTCTTGGGAAATGAATTTACAATACCGTTCTTGTGTGCAAGCAATGCATCAGTAACCTCTCTCTCTCTCTCTCTCACACACACACACACACACACACACACACGCGCGCGCACACACACACACACACACACACACTACGCATATCGACGTATATATCTCGCTGCACATATGTCTATAGATTTTCGGCTTTACACGGCGCGTTGATATAACGTGCATATATATTCCTTTGTATACTATATCATACAGCCCTGCCACAAAGATGCACAAACACACAAACATACACACACAGATAGAAAGAAAGAAATACTTTATGCATAGAAAAATAAGTTGATATTTATAAATAGATATACGCATATTCCTCTATGAGAATATGCAGATAGAGAGACGGCTAGCGTCTAGAAAGAAAAGATCGGCGAACGGAGATCGAAATCTAGCCAATTTCGTTGCATTCACTTTCACACAAATGCGGGAAAAGTATGTGTTATGGTCCTTGTACCACGGGTGATAGTCCAAGGTAGAACCAATAAAGAAGAACTCGAACACAGGTATGGAATAACACAGATATATTACAAACAGGAATATATACAGAGAAGTAGAAGTGTTAGTATGAACAATCAGGTTTAGTAGAGAGAACAATGTAGTCTTGACCAGTATCACTATTCCAACGTCTTGCAGTAATTGTCTGAACGCAACTCTGTTTCGGACTGCTTCTGACTCGACTCTTGACTCGACTTGAACTACTGACTCGACTTGAACTACTGACGATATTCAGTCACCCCCCGCCCACGAGGGCGTCATGTGGCACAAGGTCGGTTTAACGTGGGATCTCCGAGCCCGTGAGCTCGGCCAAAAATATGCCCATTGAACCCGTATAAACGGGTTCAGGGTCGGTTTACCTCCCCGAAAGAGAATCCGCCCTTCGGCGTAGCCTCTTTCGGGTTCCTCCCCGCCCAAAGGCAGAGAGTTCAACCGAACAGCCGGTTTTGACTTGAACGACTGACGATATTCAGTAATCCCCCACCACTGGGGAAGCATGTGGCACAAGGCCGTTTATTTAATGTGGGATATCTGAGCCCGTGGACACGGCCCAAAAATATGCCCATTGAACCCGTATAAACGGGCTCAGGGCCGGTTTACCTCCCCGAACGAGACTCCGCCCCTCGGCGTAGCCTCGTTCGGGTTCCTCCCCGCCCGAAGGCAGAGATTTCAACCGAAACAGCCGGTTCAGAAGTGCCTACTCCTGAGGCGCAGTATTTATTAAGTATGGAATAGTCCATTATTATTATTATGGGTAAGATGCCATAACAGTATGTAACCATCCCAGCTATTGGTTAAATACCAAAACAATCTTGTCTCTCTAGCCGTGGTTGTCAACCTGTCTAGGAGAAGGATAATAATCCCGAACACCGTATCTACCCTTGTAGACTATACAGCCATCGAAAGTTTATGTAGTTCACAATAAACTGTGATGCGTATGACAACAACGGTGATGGATAAGGTAGATAGGTAGTTAGGTAGCTAGGTAGGTATCGGAGATATATTGTTCTATACATTTCCGACATTTTCTTTACCCAATGGATATCAGTTTGTGTATTTCCTCCTCGAAATTTTCGCTCGAAATTAAAACCTTTAAGTTATTTTTAATTTTCTCAGACGAAATAGTTGTTGAAATCAGACATTAAATGCGACAAAATTTTGTCACAGTTCGATGTAAAAATGTATAAATTTTACAAATATATGTGGAGAACGTTCTTCTTTTTCAGTTTGTGTTTTATCTGCAAAGAATCAAGACTTACACATAATATCTCCACGATAATAATACCATGCACTCTCACATATACACGCACACATTTATTCTTCTTCATGTATAACAATCTATAAAGCATACAGCACTTAACAATATGGGATGTGGTATAACCATAGAGGCATACATATTGTATGCTTAGTTTATCTGCAAATCAGGTAAATCAGTATCACGAGGATATATTAATAGAGCATCATCGATATATCGGAAGTATATTGATTGGTTAAAATATTTTGGAAGAGTCCGGATTCAAAAAATTCTAACAAAATATACGCTATCACTCCACTAAGAGGTGACCCCATTGGTAATCCAAATAATTGTTTTGTAAAAATGATTATCAAATGTGAAATAGCATTAATTGGTGATGAAACGGCAGATTTTTATTATTTTAGCAATTGGTGGGAGAGGTTTAACTTTGATGCTTTTTTAAGAGGTTCAGACATTTTTCAACTGACACGTTGGTGTACAAGGGATTTTATATCAAGACTAACCATGAGTTTGTTAGTCGAGTTTAAATACCAAGATTGCTTTTAAGCATGAAACAGTCGCCGCCTGGTGTTGACCTCAATGTCCACTTTTATATTTCATTATGTTCTTTCTATCTCTGAGATTGAAAACTTTTATCCATAAAAATAGCATACCTTAAAACTATATTTTTATCAAGCGTGTATATATATATATATATATATATATATATATATATATATATATAAGCAATTCCATGGTGTGAAACAAAAGCCACCCAGTCTACAAATTTCCAGAGAAACCATTGAAAGTAGAAGGCAAACCCCGGAACAATGTAAAGTCTTTCACCTATCTTGGTAGCAAAGTCAACTACAGTGGACTTTTAGATGATGAAATCATGCATCGGATTGCTAAGGCTACCAGTGCTTTCGGTAAACTTTGCCATCGCTTGTGGGATGATCGAGCCTTGGATCGGATAGAGTGGAGATCAACGTGTTTTACTGAACTCAGCGGTTTTCAATCTTCTAGTTTGAATCGTCTTCAAGAAGCGAGAGCACGATCTAAAAGGTCAGCCAATCTTAAGTCCCACTTAAGATTATCGCACAAAATTCATAACTGAATCAGTTGTTTAAGTTGTCAGATCCTCATACGTCGAAATCGATAGGAGAGTCCATTATATATATATATATATATATATATATATATATATATATATATATATATATATATATATATATATCAACCATCAGTTACTGGCAAACGAACCAGATGAAATCGCTAAGACCACTCAATCACGCATCTACTATATTTGCATATATAAGCATGCATATGGACATACGAGAGCATACCAAACCTACAAAAGCAGGCATACATCTCTTTGTTGCGCTAGAGTTAGGTGTGGCGAGATGAACATGTATAAAGATACGTGCCTACAAAAGTGAGTGTGCCTATCATCTTTTCCTTGTCATGCAGATACGCACACAAATGCAGTCGATTCTCGGTGTCCTGCTAAACCTGCAACATTTTTGAAATCCTCTTCTCATCTCTTTCGTCAAAATCCGAAGGTTAGCACCTCCTTTGCTACTCCGGAAGAAATAGCGAGAAACGCGTTGATGTTTTTGCTTAGGACACTTAATAGTATCGATGGCAATTTTCTGTGAAGATGAAGCCTTTTAGCCCGAACTAGTAATATCAATCCACTTATGCTTGATATTTCTTATTAATGTTAGATGAATAAAACATGTAAAGCTTATGAGAAACGTTTGAAGATTTTTTCTTATTCAATATTATAAAAAAATAGGCTCAAGTAACTTTCTTTGCTCAAAAACTACTTTTTGTTTAATTCGACATTGATTCCAAGAAAACTGAGGCCTCCATGCAAATAGATATCCATGAAGACGAGCACAAAATTATATAAATAGATACTAACAAATGGACATGAAAATAACTGCAATTTTCTTGACTTTTACAGCATTTAATGATGATGGAATGAAGCCTGAGTCAACGTGGAATTTACACGGTCGGAGCCAACTAAAGTTCTGACATAAAACGATTGAAGGCGTCGCAAAGTGTAAATAGCAATGAAGTAATGCATGTTTATGCGCATGTGTGTATGGCTGTCGGGAGATTTGGGTACGCAGCTTGTGTTAACTTACACTCCTGGTACCGATGAATATATTCATCGTTTATCCTTAAACGCTTCATGAATTTTGTATTGACGTATGCACGATGGTTATAATTTCGGGCGATGGGGAAAATTATGGCTGCAGCTTTGACGCCCAAACTCATAAGGAATAGGTTGATTCCGATATTTATTAGTCAGCAAATGCGCACGTGTGCCCGGAAAGCTTGCAGTGCTGTCTACTTGCACCAAACGGCAGAACCTACACGTTTGCTCTTGTGGCAAGATAGCAATATTGAGAGAGAGAGAGGGGGGGAGAGGGAAGGAGAGAGGGAGAGATTAATTCAGTGTCTGAATGTAGATTCATCTCATATAAAATTGATTTCATTCTATAAATGTAGCTAGAAGCATACTGAGGTATATATCTGTTAAACAGTTGCTTAAATAGTCTTTTTTACAGTGTGCAGATACTAAAATAATAAAAGACTATATCTCGTGTGAATACTTCCTCAAAGACTACATTTAACTATCCAACATATCCTCATAATCTACACTTACTTCCATCTACCTAGGGTGGCTCTTATGCCTTATACTGGGAAAAAATTTATTTTAAAATAACTAGAATTCCATTCATGTCACATACTTGTTACTGTGTTATCATTTGGTAACTCTATCTGGAGTGTCTCTCAAACTTTGTATTGGGTGAAATTTAGTATAATAAATATCCGTTTATGTATATGAGTGTACATCTGTATGTATGTGTTGTGCGTCATGTGAGGGAACACATTCCTAATAATCTATATCGTAGAGATCGACTCGCTTGCACAATAATTGCAAGAACCTAGAAATTATACAAGTATCTGGGCGGATGTTGTTAGGAGGAGGGACAAGTTCATGTCTCTCTCTCTTCACTCTCTCTCTATCACTATCTCTCTCTCTTACACACACACACACACTTCCTCTCTATCTTTCTTTCTCTCTCTCTCTCTCTTTTCCTCTCTCTCAAAGTTACACGTGTCTTACGGCCGCATCACGTTGAAACACCGGTTTCCGTTCGATCAACGAAGTTAAGCATCGTCGAGCCTGGCCAGTACCTAGATGGGTGACCGCTTCGGAATACCAGCTGTTGTGAGCTTCGATGTGCGGGTGGTGTAGTAGATAATGTCTGAGAATTGTTAATCGGAGAACCGAGTTCTAACTCCAGTCGGATTCGTTATGTTCAATTACGCGCGAATACCATTGAGAAAAGTTATGAATGCACCTCCCCTCCCCCTCATCTATGGGTTAATTAGTAATACTTGTATCATTAAAAGGATTATTATCTCCAAAGAAAAAATAAAATTACGTACAAAGTATTCAGATTTCGTCATTGATTAACCCATAGATATTGATATGCCGCTAAACAAAAAACAAATAACCGAAGTGGCACGTCCGTCTAGGAAGCGAGAGATAATGGAGCTGCTATCTTTTGTTGCCTTCAGTAATACTTCCTCCTTTATGACAGTTCATCGTCTATGCAACACTTGTTTCTCCATCCATGTTCACTATGTTACCTATTGGGTTGCTCACTGGTTCCCTTTGCTACTGTTACTTTCAATGTGTCTCTTGTGCGTTGGAATCTCCACGCCTTCCTTCCTTATTATACATTTCACAAATATCAACCTTCTTTTTTCAGATTGTTAGCACTAATTAATTTATAGTTCCTAGTTTCCCTGAAAAGTTTTTTTTTCAAGTGTTCTGTTCATCGTAATCTCAACATTCGTCAGTAGAAAGACAAACCAGAGGTGAAAAGCAGTAGCAGCAATGTGGGTAGCAATCAGGGTAGGTTTATAACTCCAAATTCTAGACTTACTAGATTAAAATCTTGGTTCGTGAATTAGTAATTGTGAGTTCAATCCTTCGGCCGGGTAGTGTTAGCATACAATCAGTGGAAAAACGACGCTCAATAATTGTGCATTAATAAATGCGAACAGACGCGATGAACCTAGATATGGATAGCAGAATGTGAACAATATATACCCGAAGATTAAATAAAGGTTTTATTCGAAATTCCCTGAGGATTATCTCGGTCGACAATGGCCGAAACGTTGAGAAAATTGCAACAAAGATTACGACAGTAGTGCAAATAATGTGTGTAGCGGTTTACTTATCTCATACCTGATTCATAATAGCTATTTATTTGAGGGTAAGGGATTTGTGAGTATTCCAATTATTGAATAAAATTTTCAAACTCATGAAAACCTAGTTGCCTTAGAGAATTATGATATATACAATAATTTTTTTTTCCCATCAAACTATCAGCAGTAGTTATGGATTAGGCATACTATTTTAAATGATAGATAGATAGATAGATAGATAGATAGATAGATAGATGGATAGATAGATAGATAGATAGATAGATAGATAGATAGATAGATAGATAGATAGATATGAATGCACCGAGATAGAGATGAACAGGATAGATAGATAGATAGATAGATAGATAGATAGATAGATAGATAGATAGATAGATAGATAGATATGAACCAAACCGGAGAGATATGAGAATAAGTGAGATAGATAGATAGATAGATAGATAGATAGATAGATAGATAGATAGATAGATAGATAGATAGAATGCATAGATAGAATGAACAAGATAGATGATAGATAGATAGAAGATAGATAGATAGATAGATAGATAGATATGAACCAAACCGGAGAGATATGAGAATAAGTGAGATAGATAGATAGATAGATAGATAGATAGATAGATAGATAGATAGATAGATAGATAGATAGATGCAAACAAACTGAAATAGATAAATAGATAGACAGCCTATTCTTATTCTTACGCAGAGAACAAAACGTAATGAAAATTGCATGCAGCTAAAATGAATGAGATAAATTTTCATCATGTCTGATTTTTTTTCCTTACAATTTGGATGCACATCCAGTCTTCTCAGAAACCTCGACCCTCCAAAGTATTTCAAAGTAACTTGCTGAGTTGACAAGCTGCTTCGCCGCCATGTCATCAAGACAGCAAATTGGGAAAGAAACCATTGTTCTCATCATTCCAAGAATTTAAAGCTGATTTACTTTGGTTAAACACAACCTGATTTCTGTAGACTTTCTCCATAACCATCTTCTCTATTTTGGTTGTTCTCGTGTTTTCCTGCCTTCTCCACAGAGCAATATATATGGTGAAAGTTATCACAACATTTGGGTATCAGAATGTCTTTTTTTGTTTCAGTAACTGCTGCTGTTTCATGTGTTAATACTGTAAATATTTTCTTTTCCGTTTCTTGTATATTAGAAAGAAATAGATCAGAGAACAAATTGATGTTATAGGATATTAGTATATCCTGATAGTCCAGGGTATCACTGCTCTTCGATAAAATATAGAACGGCCTTTCTACATAAGATCAGTGTATTTCTATCAAGTTAATGTTATGCGTTTCATGTCAATAAATATTTCATGAAGAAATTTTCACTCTTTTTAGGTAACAGTTTAATAAAGATCATAAAAAAAGTGTTTCATTCAGATCGAGATTTGCGTTAATGAAAGAGCTTACAATATTAGTTAAAAGAAATACATTTTATTAGGAAATAAAAAAAATTAAAAATTACTGAATTCCAAAAATTTCTAATAAAAAGATGGAAAAATCAAGGGGATTTTGATTTTTTTCACAAAATACAAATATCGTGTTATTGAATAAAAGTAGTCAATGTATTCGCAAATGCATTTCTATGAATCCTTTTTTTTCAATCTCTCCTTGTAAATATGAAGTGATTTCATGGATTTTTATGTTTCTGTAAGAAAATAAGTCAATGCTATTGATGCATCAAAAGCACTGACGCTACAATGAAAGACATAGATTTAAGGATAGAATTAGCCACACTCTTAGATTCCGTTCACGCGCACACGTATATCTATATATATATATATATCCAAGCATCGTATGTAATATGTTGTTTGAATTTAATAAACTACGGATAGTTCTAGTAGGTAATAATGTAAGAACTATCCGTAGTTTATTAAATAACACCAGCAAACAACATATTACATCCGATGCTTGCATCTACCAAATCTCATGCGCATATATATATATATATATATATATGTTATAAATATAGGTCCGATAATTTATTTATTAAAGACATTTTTATTTATGTTTAACGTTGTTATTTTTATAGATCATCATTTAAGTGCTCTGTTTATGATAAACATCCATTTGCCTCTAATGTCTAGGATTTTCATAGAAAATATTCGTTCATAGACAGGATTCGAACCTCATCCTCGGAACCGCCATATACGCTGGCGTGCCTTGACCACTCGGCCACCATGAACCTTATGGTAGACAAGGTCGAATTTACTTTATAAACACGCTTCCATGAATCTCAATTCATAACTTTTTGGCGTATCGAATGTAAACAAATGACGTATATGTTAAGAAATGGACGAACCCGACAATTTATTTATTAAAGAGCTTTTATTTATGTTTAATTAATTTTATAGATACCAATATTTACGTCAAATCCGCTGTTTATATAAATAGTATTAAATAACATTTATATATAATGTCCGATAAATATATATATAAAATATTCGTTCAGACATGATTCGAACCTGCATCCTCCTACGGAACCGCCATATACGCTTTGCGTGCCTTGACCACTTTATCTTCATGGTCCTTATGGTACGTAACAAATTTACTGTTCTAAAAATTAAAATAATGAAATTACATTCATAACTTAATTCGAATCAAACAAATGACGTCATATGTTAAGAATGGACGAGGTCCGTATTTATTTATTTAAAGACATTTTTATTTATGTTTAATTTTTATTTTTATTTAAAATTTACAAATTCGTTTATGATCTCTTCACAATAACATTTACCGGCCTTTTCTGAGAAATTTTCAGAAATATTCGTTCATAGACAATATTTCCAATACGGAACCGCAGTACGCTGGCGTGCTAGAAAAGAAAAAAAACCTGAAGAAGACAAGGTCGAATTTAAAGTTTTAATTAAACTTATAAGATGATATGAATTGCATTAAACTGACGAAATGTGAAAAATGACGTATTGTTAAAAATTCCACTCTCCGTTTTATATTTAAATTTTTAATTTTAAATGTTGTTATTTTTATAGATACAAGTTTTATTCTCTGTTTATGATAAACAGTATTAAATAACATTTACCGGCCTGAATGTCCGAGAAATTTAAAAAATATTAAATTACAAGAGGGAAGGATAGAAGATGAAGTTTTGTTTGTTTTGAGATCCAAACTCGTTAATGCATAGAATTTTAAATCTCCCCATCTCCGTTATTATAACGAAGACAAATACCATTATTGACAAGGGAGGTAACCGTGGATTACTCTACATCCTCACTTTTTTAAAAAATACTTTCAATATGAAAGTCTAACAGGAGGTGGAACCTTGCGACCTTATCTGGTGTAAACAAACCAGCTGGTGGTGCCATTGGCAATTGGCTTTTTATTTTCAGTTATTTGGATTTCGTGTTGATTTCCTGACAATTTAGCTGGACGCAGTTTCTCCAGGTAACAACATCCGAAACAAGTCTTGATTGATGCTTCAGTGTATTGAAAGTTTGCGGGTTTGGTAGCTTTTGTTGATGATGGCTGTTCAAGCCTTCAGCTTACATTATATGTATTTCGTGGTTGAATTTCACTGTCTGTCTTACTAAAAGCAGACCTTGTTGAAGCAGGTTTTACGACTGCTGATGAAGATTTTGGTGTTTTTACCTTACCGGATTTATAATATTTTCTTTTTCTAAACAATGTAACTCTTCCTGGACTTTTTCTTCGTAGGAAGTGGCAAGCGTCGAGAAGTTGCTATAGACATTGATTGCTCAAACTCTTTTAAACATATTATACATACATAAGACATTTATGAAAATATACTCATTTTTCCATTGCTAGTGTGTGTGAAAGAATCTAAAAATAAAAAAACTGTACACTATCAAAATGTCATTTCAGTCAACGATTTAACCCAGACCACTTTCCCAAAATGTCTTTTTCAATGAAAAAAAAAAGATTTCAACAAATTAGTCAGATTGAGAATTTCTCAACATTCATATCTCTCTCCATATATATATATATATATATATATATATATATATATATA